TTTAATTTCTTTGTTATTGTTCGTTTACTCAAAAAACGAAAAAAGAACTCAATTCCGATGCGAAAAAAGGGAGCAATGTTTGTTTATTTTGTGCTGTACCGGTGTATTGGAATTACATTTCAAAACTAAATCCAATTTTTATTACATTGATATGTCAGAATCCAGGAGTAGTAATTGTATATTTGGTGGAGTTTGGAAGAGCCCGACTGTTGTGGGGATATTATAAATTTTATAGAGCCTCCTGGTTTGTGGGGATTTGAAGGACCAACGGCTTATACACCAGTTTTCAAATTAGAAATTTTAAAAATCCCTTACATATTTCCCTTGAAATACCTTTCACCCCATAAAGTTTGTCTGTATTGGTGTAGGGCATAACTTGCCGCTCCTACCGCATCCCATAATCTTCTTTTAAATTTAATTGCATATGCCATTTTCCATTCACATATTTGGTATTGTTTTTACTTATATTTTTTTCCGAAGCTATTTAATTTAGTTGCTCCTCGAATGTGATAATTGAAATTGTTAGAGGTTGCCTTCAGTTTTCATTTAGTCTGAAAATGTGAAAAGCCAAAAAAAAAAAACAGAACAGAACAAATGAAAAACCTAAAATGCCATTGCCATAAAAATAAAATGCATTTTTTCCAAGTTGTTAACCATAAATATAAGGGACAGGACGCTGCAGCAAAGCAAAAAAAAAAAAAATAAAGAGGATAACAATGGAAAAATTGGACATTAAATAGACATGAGCAGAGAAAGCTCAGTTCACATGAGACCAGGTGTGTGTGTTAGTGTGGCTGTAAACGGATACATGCCACTGACCAAGGCCAGCCAACCAACCAACCAGGTGTTGCAGATATTACCATTGTATGCTAATGCATATGATGGCGGTGGTCAGACACTAACACACATATACATTCTCTTCTAACGGCCCACAGTGATTTGGAGTACGATTTTAATGGCGAAATCTCAATTTTTTCGGTACCCACTCCGGGAATGGAATAGTAAACTTCAAGTAAATGTGATGTAGACAATTCAATTCGGTCAATTCATGTTAAGATGTGGGATTGGCATGGCCCTAAAGACAACTATTTTTGGATTTGGGAAACTTCGTAATTTTGTAAACATATGATTGAGAATTGGAATGCCTAAAACGCCATTATTCCCATTTTTGATATGTAAAATATTTGCGGGATCCGATTGCAAATATATTAATCAAAATATAGCCAAAGAAGTAAAAAACCGATTTCAACACCCTGCACCATTAGGTAAAATACAAAACATTTTTTAATAAAATTATTTGCATTCAAATACCAGTGAGATTGGTTGAAAAATGCAGACAAAGTTTTAAAATACAACAATACAAAAGAATATATCATTCGGTTTTGCCGACAGATGTATACAATCCGCCAATCTCCGTTTATCAAAAAAAAAATCGACTTGAGTTATGATTATTTAAATTAAGACCCCGGATGGTACCAAAGGTATAGGCCAATATTTTTATCTATATAACTATATCGACGACTTCCTTCATTCTATACAGAGTGAGATAAAAAAAAACTACAACAAAGCCAAACGCCATCATTTTTACATTTTTAGTACAAAAAATCGGAAATAGCATATATTTATAGAATATGTTTAGATTTGTTCGAATTGGTCACCTTTGGCACGAATTATGGCCTTCAACGGTCAACGAAACCGTCACACCCTGCCCGAATGTTGCTCTGCGGTATTTTGGTCCATTCCCGGCGAAGCGCTTGCTTGAGGTGATCGACACTTTGGTATTTTTTAGTGCCAACCTTGCTTTCCAAAATACTCCAGACACGATAGCCCAACGGATTGGTATCCGGACATTTGGGTGTTCATTGTGCGCTGGAAATAAAGCGAGGAACCTCATTTTGTAACCATTCTTAGGTGGCGCGTGCTGAGCCCTGCTGGAATGTCCAAGGTCTGCGGCCAAAATATTTGCGTGCCCAAGGCTTTAATACACCCTCCAGAATATTTTCGCGACAATATTCGGCATTTATTCTGATGCCACGGTCGATTAATAAGAGCGGAGAGCGACCATCGGCTGTTATGGCGGCCCACACCATCACCATGGCCGGCTTGAGGCTTGAGTTCTGGTGGCCAAACGAAGGTGCACATTTTCAGCTGATCTCTTTGGCAAGAAAACACGATCATTTTGTTTGTTTACAAAATGCAGGACAACGAATGTTTTCTCATCAGAGACGGAGAAAACCAAATTCGGCAGTTCACCACTTTCGGCCAAGCGAAGCAACTCTTTAGCTCTTTTGAGTCTATTTTCTCTCTGTAGTTTTACCCCGAGCGTATTTTCCAATATTTGCCGAATGGAATATTGGGATATGTTCAGTTAACGAGCCATTTTTCGGCCACTGCGACGCGGGTTTCGATCGAGTCGCTTCTTTACTTTTCGAACCATTTCTGCTGCTAATGTTGCTGTTTTCTTCCGTGCACTTCCTTGACATCGGGCTACGCTACCTGTATCACGGTAACGAGCGATGGTACGAGACACAAAAGCTTTATTCACATTTAAATACTGGAGTGCTCTAACGATAGCCACTTCTGATTTTCCAGCCAAATATAGAGAGGAGCGAAGCAATTTGCCGCATGCCCTGTTTGGCATACACTTAAGCCAGTATAGGCCTATAGTGCGCTCTAGACTAAGGATTTTTTGAAGAAGACGGGCAGTTTACATTATATCATTTATATGGTCATTTACCATGGTCTGATTAAAGTCTGGTATGGAGTCGTTCCCTAAGAATTGGGATCTGTTTTTTGCAAACGCTGGACATTGGCAGAGAAAATGTTCCAATCGTTTAGGTAAGGCGTTTAGGTAAGATTTAGACTTTTGAAGTTTTCTAGGACCTATAGTAGAATTGTATGACAAATCATTTTGTCGCATATGTTGACTTGCTACAATCCCGTTTAATGGGAGTGTGTAAGCATATTAAAAAAAGTACCAAAAAGTCCCCTTTGTTGAACCGCTAGAATTTTAAAATGTTCGACCGAAATATTTAAAATGCCCAGATTAAAGGGAATCTCAATCTGAAAAATTCCAAAAATTAGGAAAAGGTTATGTTATGAGAGGTTGGGAGGGGTTTGTGTGCTTTTTTTAACTCACTTTTTTATTTGCTGCATTTTCCCCATAATTCTTAAAAAAAAAATAGAAACTTGTCGCATAGTGTAATCAAAACCATTTGCAAAATCTAAAAAGCTGTGAAATGCTAAATTTTACCTCAAATTTCGTAAAATTCTCTAGTCCAATTTGTATTACAAAAATAATAGAAAAATTAAAAAAAAAAAAGAAAAAAAAAAATAACTTCATCCATTCAAACGTTGCAGAATTTCGACTTGGAATAAAAGGATTCGAAATCACCGTGCAACCACTGTTACATATTTTGCATCTGTATGTGTGTGAGAGCGCGAAAAACAATGCCCCGCAACAGCAGCAGCTTAGCAAATGTTGAGGTGTTAAAAACAACAACAGCAGCAGCAACAACTACAACAAGTTTTGGCATTTAAACAAAACACTTTGCATTAGAAATTTATGATTTGGCCAAACAAACAAAAAAAAAAAAAAAAAAAAGAATACGCGCATTGAAGTTAAAGGGAATTTTTTAAAACGAATAAAAACGTCAAAGTATGCCAAAAAAAAAAAAAGCCATGGCAGCCATGCATGGCAAACACACACACTCTATTTCAAACATTACAGCTGCATTCTAATACCCCCCCCCCCCCCCCTCCGCTTCATGCAAAAATGGGATTTTAATTTGAAATATTGGAGTTTTCTTCAAATGAGATTCCTTTCAATTTTTCATGGATTCGAGCAATAATAAAATCATAGGGTTACTGCTGCTGATACACTTCAGGAAAGAGAGAAAGATCGCATTCTGTTTATAAAAGTCGTTCTCTGTGTGCGTGTGTGTATGATGGTCCACACTTACATACATATGTAACCTGTCGCTTTTTAATATGATTCCATTTATAGTCAAAGTTCAAACGAAGGCAACAACAACAGCACAGGGCCATGAAATTTGCACAATTTTCGAGCAAAAGGATTCCTCGGAATTATTGCCAGACTGCAAATGTTAAGTAGCCGCGTGCAAACGTTAAATAAAATGTTTTAAGCTTCTTTGCTAATGTACACCCAGAGAAAAAATGACAACATCCGTGTATGAAATGACCACATCCGTGTATGATAGTGTATCAACCACGTTTGGTGTCAAAATGAGCACGCTGTTGTCATTTTGACACCGAGATTTTGGCAACGATTTCAACAACAGATGTGCATGAAATGAGCACATACGTGGTCATTTCGAGCACGCCCCGTTGTCAGATTGTCAACGCTTCGTTGTCAGATCGTCAACGCTTCGTTGTCAGATCGTCAACGCTTCGTTGTCAGATTGTCAACGCCCGTTGTCAGATTGAAATCAATGGTGGTCATTTTTTGATATCCGTTCCTTTTCCATTTTATACCCTTAGTAGAAGAAACGACATTTTTTGAAAAGTATTTTATTGAACGAAACCAATTACATAAATTCAATATAAATACATATTTGATTTAACAAAACAATTCGAATTACATATATTCAATGTATAGAAACAAATTAAATTAACTTAAATCTGAAATAAACTTTTCCATTATTCATAGGATATAAGTGAAATGGGTAAGTAATTTTAATTTAATTTTTTATATCTCTTTGCCGTATGTTAAAAGATCTTTTCCATTTTTCGCAGATCGATCCCCAATCATTACATTCTCTTAGTAAGGAAGCTTTCAATGAATTTTCAACTGATTCATCAATTTCGGGAACATCTTTGTTACAAAAATTAGGAGATGTGTGAGTTGCTGCTTTGCTTGTGCTAGGCTCGGAAATCAAAAGCTTTATTCTTTTGGACTTCTTGTTTCTATACTTGGCATAAAGTTTTCCGCTTGCGTTGTTCTTTCCTTTTCTTGAAATGTAATAATAATCCTAAAAATAAAGACATATTATAAGTTAAGAAACTACATAATCAGATACGTTGTTTATATTGTTAATCTTACCCTCATTTCGTTTTCAAGAGGAAAAACGGAACAAATTTCATCCAATATGCGCATATAGTCTTGAGTGTAAAGAGTAACATTGTTGGTTAAAATATCTTCAATAATTATATTAATTATATCATCTCTTTGCTCGTCACTTAATTTCTTATTAACGCTACTACATTCAAGCGCTAGTTTCCCCTTCGAGGTATGTGTTAACAATTCCGTTAGATCCTATATTAAATAAAAAAACTACATTAACTATGCTTACACAAATATTACTCTTACCTTACCTCTGACAAAATTCCTTTGGCTTTTGAGCAGTTCGAACCTGTAGTGTCGGGAGTACCAGGAGTACTTGCAGGTGTCTCGTTGCGTTTCCACCATTCACCTATTTTAGATGGAACTGACATAGTTTCGTCATCAATCCCGAGCTATTGTTATGACAATATTAATACTGAGTTCAACTCTGTAAAACAAATAATACGTACCTTTCGTTTTTTCCAAGCAAAGAGCTTTTCTCTGAATTCAACACGCAGTCCCAATGGTGGCACTGCTTCCTTTAAATCTTCTTTTTTCAAGTACTGCAAGCTGCGAAATGTTACATGTGATGCTAAAAGAACAAAAAAGAAAATTCTTTGTTAATTACACTGATTAACTGAAAAATTCATTTTTATTTACTTACCTTTTAATTGTTCAAAAAGCGACTCCATATTTATTCCTTTTAAGAACTCCCTTAACATATAATCGTCCTCATTGTTTTCCGCATCTTGACTGCTGCAATGGTTTGTATCGCGAACCACAACAATATTGCCATCGATTTCTAACAACTCACCAATGATATTTTGAGGATCTTGCGAATTATTATTCATTTTCAATAAATTTTTTGCACAATGCGTCCTTTCTCTTTCAATAACACGGAAAAAATGGTAAATATGCAGCCGATTGCACACGAGTAAAAAAAATGACAACGGTGGTGCATGATTCATACACGGTAGTTGCTAAAATGGCAACGATCGTGTACGATTCATGCACGTCGGTGTACAAAGTAACAACGGTGGTGCATCATTATGCAGGTGGTGGTGCATAATTCATACACGACCGGTGTCATATTGACAACGACCGTGTGTGAATCATGCACCACCGTTGTCATTTTTTACTCGTGTGTAATCGGCTGCAATTACCAATATTACAAATGGACAAATTAAGCACGGCTGTTGTTGGTACCGAAAGTTGACCACGTCTCGGTGTCAATTTGAGCACGTTCGTGCACAATTCACCAACAGCCGTTGTTGAAAAATATAACAACGGGTCGTTGCGAAAATGACAACATACGTGCTTGATTTCGCAACGGGATTTTTCCCTCAGTGTAGGTATGATTCTAGCGAAATGAGGCTACTTTGTTTCAGGGGCTTAGTGATTAGAGGGAAGTGTTTTAAAGTAATGCATATAAATGAGTTGCATCAAGTTTATTATACCCTCAGCCCTATAACTAGAGAGGGTATATATGGCCAAAACGTGCCTCATCGAAATAATGGTTTTAGATTCTAGGTCTCTTTGGATCAACACCGTTTCAGGACATTTGAATTCAAGATTGAGGTTGGTATGCATGATCATTCTCGAAGGGAGTATCCGGCCTCTTTGGACTAAATACGTTTCAAGACATTTGGAGTCGGTGTGGAGGAAAATCGACCATATATATTTCATATTCACACCAGATCTTGTGCTAGTAAAAATATTGGGATGTTTGAAATTGGAAAAGAATCTAATGCTTATTTCGATTTTGATAAGAGTCAGATATTCAAAATTTTGACCCTTTGTGGGGGAGATACCAGAAAGAGTTATCCGATATATTCCATATTATCACCAAATCTTGAGTTGGTAGATATATTGGGATTTGCCGAATTTGAAAGTAATCGGATGCTTATTTATGAGCTTCATGGTCATTCAAAATTTTGACCCGTTGTGGGAAAGGTACCAGGAGGAGTGAACCGATATATTCCAACTTCACAGCAGATCTTGTGTTAGTAGAAATATTGAGATGAACCGAGTTTGAAAGGAATCGCATGCTCAATTCGTGTTTAATGAGCTTCATGGTTTTTCAAAATTTTAACCCATTGTGGGGGAGGTACCAGAAGGAGTGTGCCGTTATCTACCATCTTCTTCTGCTACCACCCCCACAACGGGCCAAAATTTAAAAAAAAACATGAAGCTCATAAAACGTGGAATAAGCATCTGATTCTTTTTAAACCCGACACATCCAAATATTTTTACCAACTCAAAATCTGGAGTAAAGATAGGATATATCAGCCGACTCCTCCAAGTACATCCCCCACAACGGGTCAAAATTTTAAATAATTATAACACTCATAATATGGGAAATAAGCAGACGATTCTCTTCAAAATTTCACACATCTCTATATTTCTGTTATCAAACGATTTGGTGTGAAGATGGTAGATATCGATCCACTCCTTCTGGTACCACCCCCATTAAAGGGTCGAAATTTTGAATAACAAAAACGCTTTTATAAATCAAAAAGAACTTCCGATTGCTTTCAAATTTCACACATCCCAATACTCTCACCTACACCTGATCTGGTGAGAACATGGTATATATGGGTCCACTCCTTCTGGTACCTCCCCCCACAAAAGGTCGAAACATTCAAAACAAAAAAAAAAAATCAGATGAAAAAATTGCAACCAACTTCAGACAGCTGTCATTTCTAAGACACTCGTCCGACAGCTGTTAAAATTATTCCAGTTACACCTCATTATATTGTTTACAAGCGTACAAAAGCATTTTGATGAGAATTTTCCAGAAAAAAAGTTATTCGTGATGGAATTCAAGCGTGATAGTGTGATTTCTTTATATTTGGCTGGAAAACAACAAGTGGCTATCGTTAGAGCACTCCAGCATTTAAATTTGAATAAATCTTTTGTGTCTCGTATCATTGCTCGTTACCGTGATACTGGTAGTGTAGCCCGACGTCAAGAGAAGTGGACGGAAGAAAACAGCAACACTAGCAGAAATGGTTCGAAAAAAAAATGATCGCAAAATGCGGTGGCCAAAAAATGCTTCGTGAGCTGAACATATCGCAAAATTCCATTCGGAAAATATTGAAAAATGAGCTCGGGATAAAGCCATTGAAATTCCAAAAAGTGCAAGAACTTACACCGCAACAGAAAGAAAATAGACCCAAAAGAGCTAAAGAATTGCTTCGCTTGGCCGAAAGTGGTGAACTGCAGAATTTGGTTTTCTCCGCTCCGATGAGAAAACATTCGTTGTCCAGCAGTTTGTAAACAAACAAAATGATCGTGTTTACTTTCCAAAGAGGTCAGCTGAAAATGTGCACCTTCGGTTGGCAACCAGAACTCAAGCGTCGGCCATGGTGATGGTGTGGGCCGCCATAACAGCCGATAGTTAATCTCCACTCGTATTAATCGACCGTGCCATCAGAATCAATTCCGAATATTATCGCGAAAATATTCTGAAGGGTGTATTAAAGCCTTGTTCACGCAATCATTTTAGCCGCAGACCTTGGGCATTCCAACAGGACTCAGCACCATCGCACTCAGCACGCGCCACCCATGAATGGTTACAAAATGAGGTTCCTCGCTTCATTTTCAGTGCCACACAATGGCCTCCAAAATCTCCGGATACAAATCCGTTGGACTATTGTGTCTGGAGACTTTTGGAAAGCAAGGTTGGTACTAAAAAATACCAAAGTGTCGGTCGCCTCCAGCAAGCGCTTCGCCGGGAATGGACCAAAATACCGCAGAGCAACATTTGGGAAGCATGTGACGGTTTCATTGGACGTTTGAAGGCAATAATTCGTGCCAAAGGTGACCAATTCGAACAAATCTAAACTTATTTGAAAATTTGATGCTACTTCCGACATTTTTTGCTTTTATTCAAATAAAATTAAAAAAAATACAAATTATGGGTTTTGAATTTGTTGCAGTTTTTATACCCTCCACCTTGGAAAGGAGGGTATATTAACTTTGTCATTCCGTTTATAACATCCCTAAATATTCGTCGTAGACCCCATAATGTATATATATTCATAATCAGCATAAAATTCTAAGTCGATTTGACGATGTCCGTCTCTCTGTCTGGCCGTCTGTCTGTCTCTCCGTCTGCCTGTTGAAATCACGATACAGCCCACATTATTTGACGTAGAGCGTCAAAATTTAGCAAAACAATTTGTATTGTGTCTAGGATGGTTGGTATTGAAAATGAGGTATATCGGTCCACGTTTTGGTATAGTCCCCATATAACGGTACCTCCCGATTTTTAGTATTTTGATGATTTTTGCAACTTTTCTTTCACGATTTTTTATAAAAATTGGTATTTGTTGGTCATAATTGGTCCTAGTTTGTGTGGCGGAACATTGCATGTATAGGTCCACGATTTGGTATAGCCCCCATATAATGGTACCTCCCGATATTCGGCATTTTGACGGTTTTTGTCACATTTTTTAACGAATTTGTCTAAGATTTGGTATTTGTAGGTCATGATGGGCTCTCGCTACGGTGGCGAAACATTATATGTATAGGTCCACGTTTGGGTATAGCTCCCATATAACGGTACCTTCAGATATTCGGTATTTTGATGATTTTTGCAACATTTCACCGCGGATTTGTCTTAAAATTGGTATTTGTGTGTTCTAATGGCTTCTAGCTCCGTTGCCGAAACATTTTGTATATATAGCGATACCTACCCATATTCGATATTTTGATGATTTTTGCCACATTTTCCCACGAATATGTCTAAAAATTAGTATTTGTGGGTCACGGGTTCTATTGTTTCCTTTAACCCAAGGTGGAGGGTGTTAAAAGTTTGGCCCGGCCGAACTTGATGTTTTTTTACTTGTTTTATCTCACCCTGCATATCATATTTATGTAGGTCCTATATGAAATGGACAATATTGGCAAAATTGGAACCTACTCCATAGAGGGTCAACAATTTGAATATTCATAAGAGAAGTCAAAATATATTTAAATAATCGAATATTGATGATGCTTTTTAAGAATAATTCTTAATACATTTTTCATATGAAAATTGATCTCCATTCTTTTTGCAATAAAACACGTTCCAATTTACCCCATTTTGAAATTCGAAACATCTTCATACGTAAATATATCCGCAATTCAATGCGACGACTTTCTTTTTGCTGTTGCTCGACGAAAAGAATCGCTTTGTCAGATAAATCCCATTAATTTCCGTTTTTGTGTTTCCTTGGAAAATTGTTTGGCTTAAAGCTGATGCTTCTTTTGCCATTTATTTCGTCAGTGTGTGTGTCGGTCTTTTTCTGCTTTTTGCGTCACACTTCCTTTGGCTCGTCAATAAAGTGTTAATGTTTTCCGATAGTCGTTACTGTTTTTTTTTTGCTCTGCAGTCGTCGTTTTTATTGGCGTTATCTTTATCTATAGTTGTTGTTATTGCTGCTATTGCTGCTGCTGATGTTGGTATTGACACCTACTTTGCAAATGTATGCAGTGTTGTTGTTGTTGCCTTCATTTTGGGCATACAACAACAAAAATAACTACGATGTGACATAATGAAAGTATTTTCATTCATTTTTATCCTTTATCCAGCAGCGTAGTAAAATAAACACAAACAGAGAGAGGGAGAGAGGGAGAGTACTAACGAGAGAGTGTGGGGCAAGAGCGGAAGAACTCATTTGTTTGCTTTGACACAAGACAAACAAACAATAGATCCTTTTTTTGTGCGCCATCTTGTTTGAAAGTCAAAATGAAAATGTTTCCAATTTGATGGTTAAAGACTGTAGTACCTCACCCTCCCCCTCCACACTTCTCTAGGGGGTAAAAACATATGCAGATGGATAGATGCACGTACTCTATAACACTCGGTGAGCGTGAGAGAGGGGGGCGAATGCAGGGGCCCCGCATGCAGCATATTAGTTTCATAAATTCCAATACTTATTACAGATTCTCGTATATTTTCCATGCCAATGCCGAAGTAAAATAAGCATGCTTATGCACAGAAATTGGTTGTCTAAGTTGATGGCTTGTTGCTTCTGCTGTCGTTGTTGCTATTGCTATTGCTATTCGTTTGTTTCTTTGTTGGAATGCTGTTCATTGCTACAGGGCAGGACAACTTTGAA